AGGACTTTTGTGAGGACTTTGATTTATTTGCTAAAGCTCACAGAATTCTGTCTAGGGAAATTCGTGGTGACCTCTCGGGTTTGAAATCAAAGAAATCCAGAAGTCTTGGTTACTTCCACCTTGCCAATATTCTCAACCAAACAGCAAGATAAATGCTGTTAGAATAAATGTCTACTCTCTTGTTTCCTGAGAGGTCTACTCTTGCATAATTTCTTAGCAGTCGTACTACCAAATTTATATGCTATCTAGCAAAGAAGATATGAGAGTGACATACAAATTTTAGATAGCTTAAAACATTAGTTAGGTCTTCAGAAGCCCATGTCTGTGTCCATTCACGTGCATGCCCTCTACCATGCCATGCACATGATGTTGCCTTCCCCAAGTGTTCCTGCCTCTTGGTGCATCTCTTACTTGAATACTGATGTTCGATAAGACTGGTTACTTAGCATGGGACTTTCAGAGTATAATTTTCCCCAAATTCATCAGAATTTAATGCAGATGTTTGCAGAAGGAAAGTCTACACTCAGATTTGAGTAGATTTCCTTTCTGCAGATATTCACACAAATGTCCAAATACACATGTCACAGGTGTAAGAATAAGATTATAACATACAGGCCTATGCCTTGCTTGTGTGCACAGCGATGTATAATCTTGAGTGTCTGAACAGGACTCAATTTAATAGCTGACTGGGGTTTTATAGTACCTATTTCATGAAGAAGCTGCTGGAAACAAATATTAATCTTTCACCTGGCCTGAGGTCTTGTTTTTGTTCATAGCTGTTACAACACTGACTGTATGTCTAACATTTGTCCCCACACACATCACTTTTTATTCAAACTGCAATGAGATTGGAAGTGAGTTTTGTTTAGTTTTATTGGTACGGTCATTTTTCAGAAATGTTCATGACAGAGATCCAGATGCTTAGGTTTAAAAATAACAGGTTGGTTCCTGCCAGACAATGTTTTGGATTATAAGAAGCTTTAAGCTTAAAGTATTCAGAGTCCATTTGTCAATCCAGCTATTGTGCAGCCCGTTTTTATTTGCAAAGAATTTTGTGCATGGAATCCAACAGGATTCCTTGGAAGAGGCCCAGTATAAACTAAACTGAGAGCCCCCCCTGGTGTCTGAAAGTGTCCTCCACAATCAAATTTATATCCGTCACAGGAAGTCTTGGCAATCAGACTAGTCACTTTTTCCCCTCACATCTGGAAGTGAATTTTTTTTTCTGCTTCAAAGGTCACAGGCATCATGGGTAGGGCATGGGTTTAGGGCCATAGAAAACATGGGAAAGGAAGAATAAAACTAGATTTCCACCTTTTTAGAAATGGTTATTTTTAAATGGCCTGGAACGTAGCCAAATTACACAACCCTCTTTCTCCCGCCTTCTCCTTCCGCTGCCCAGTTTACATTTGTTGCTGAAAGAAATGTGACTGAAAGATTTTTCTTCTGGAATGTTACCTCGTTTCTTGGGATTTATGAGTACTTTCTTCTGTTCACGGAGAACAATGTTTTTATAGCAGGATGGATTCAGAAATTGAGTGTGTTGCCCCACGGAGTACTGTTTATGGCTTGTAATTTTGAGTTGTGTGTGTGTGTTTTTAGCTTTCCCTGATCTCTTCCTTTGCCTTTCTCGTAGATTTACTTGCGTCTTGAACTTTTCTTCAATTCTAACTGAAGTGGTGTGGGTGGGTGTTAATGGGTGATTTGTGGCTTTTCTTTCCTGCATGACTTGCAATCTTAAGCATTTAACTTGAAGAAATATAGGAAACACTTCATCTTAGAGTCTTTCCCCCAGCCCTTCAAACAAGGGCTTGGGGAAAGGTCGTAAAAACAGAACCTTTCCCATTTGATCCACAGGTATTCCTTACATTAGACAAGGAAAGTAGTATGCTGAAAGCTGCAAAATCTCTGAAGCCTGTCTTGAAAACAAGTTCCATATGAATGGGAATCAAAAACGGCATGAGGTTAACATTTGCCTATAGTAAAAGGGAATTGCAGAACCTTAGGCTTGAGTCATATGTTTTGATGAGATGATCTTTAATGGTGAATAAACAGAGATCTAATTGCTGCTATACAGATCTGCTCTGTTTTGACACATATTCTAATATATGTAATGGTTTTCATTTGTTGACTTATTTAATTCAGAAACACAGGGTCTATGTTCTTTAGACAGAGAATACATAAAGCTGAATCTCAGGCATTGGCTGTGAAGATTTTTATTTATTTATTCAAGTTTCTGTCATTCCTTATCTATATTCCAGAGTCTTACATGGCATATTGAAACACCATAATAAAGTGAAACTAAAAAAATGAAATGTTGGCAAAATGCAGTATAAGCAATGAGGGGAAGGCCTCCTTTTTTAGAACACTTTCTGCAAATGGAAGGCCACTCTTAAAATAAGTTGAGTGTTTTGTCCAGTTTTTATGTCCTTCATTGGATAATGTTGACCATAATCCTTGTGGCTTAAGATGTACAGAGTGTGCAAGAGAACAGACAAGACTTTCTTAGCTAGGTCCGAGTTCATGAAGTTCTGTATAGGTAAGAACCTATGCCATGATGCACACCTGGAAGGTAAGGAGTAGCTAATGCAGTTGCTGCTCCAGTGTCTTAATGAATCTTCTTTCATCAATGGCCAGGGAATACTCTGCAATACAGTGGATCCTCGACTTACAGACGGCTCGACTTACAGACTTTTCTGGCTGCAAAATTTAGATTTGACTTGCAGCCAGAGAATCGACTTACAGACCAGAAAAAAACCAAAATGGAATAAAAATAGAATAAAAACCACTGGTTATGGGATTAATCGGTTTTCAGTGCATTGTAGGTCAATGGAGATTCGACTTACAGACTTTTCGACTTGCAGCCACCATTCCAATATGGATTAATTCCTTAAGTAGAGGGTCCACTGTAGTTGAACCTCTACTATAAATGGGGGTATGTTTGTAACAAGAGCTTTGTTTTTCTGGAAAATGCTTATTAACACTTCCTGTTGGCCATAGCCAACTCCAGTTTATTCGTGGAGACTACTAGTGAAGCCAGAAGCATTCCTAGCTGACACATGCAGTCAATAATATCTCCCTTTTTCTTTCACTGTTCTGTTACACTATTTCCTCTCACTCAGTTTCCAGAGTTGCATCTTGTATATTAGGTACAATGGGTAAAATTTCTATCACCTGTAATATCAGGTGTTTGATAAGATAACTAGTTTAATTCACTAAGCTGTCCATTCAATAAGAAGGTTTTCCAATCCAAGACAGGCACACAAATTGAATTATATGGGAACCCTCCTTTGTCTACCTTGGATTCAGATTTTGTCTGTTTTTGTTGGAAAGTGTCTACATGGACCTGAAGTATTACCTCAAGGTATTGGTCATGAATCTCAGTAGCTCCTGAAGGATGATCAGGCTGTTGTTGTTGTTGTTGTTTAGTCATTAAGTAGTGTCTGACTCTTCATGACCCCATGGACCAGAGCACGCCAGGCCTGATCAGGCTACCTTGGTCATTTTAAACTAGAGCCTGATGGATAGGGAGCTGACACCCAGTTGATACTTCTGGGTCTTCAAGGAGTTGTAAAGTTGGAAGGGGTCTATAAGGCCATCAAGCCCAATCCCCTGCTCGAAATCAAAGGATATATGTCAGGTGAATGTCTTGAATGCCTGCTGTGTTGGAGTACTCATGACCTCTCAATGTAATTGGTTCCATTGTTGTACTGCTCTAACAGGAAAGTTTTCCTGATATTCAACTGAAGGCTGGAAACCAAGCCTTATGAGGAAAGACTGAAAGAACTGGATATGTTTCGCCTTGAGAAAAAAAGATAGAGGGGTGATATGATAACACTTCTCAAATACTTGAAAGGCTGTCATACAGAGGAGGGGCAGGATCTGTTCTCAATCATCCCAGAGTGCAGGACATGGAACAATGGACTCAAGTTACAGAAAGCCAGATTTTGGTTGAATATTGGGAAAAAACTTCCTAACTGTTAAAAGACTAGCTGAGAAGAACATCTCAGTTTCTTAGCAGTTGGGGCATTTTGGATATAGTGGAATGTTCAGACTTGAATTCTCCTCCTGAATTTGGGAGATATCTCTGCTCTAGACACAGTGGTTCCAAAATAGTCTTCTTCTTGAAGTTTCCCTGTGGCAATTCTCTTGTACATCTGATTTTTTAAAATCTCTGCTGCCATCATGTTCTGTAGGGAGGAATCTGCTTTCCCATGCACATTGGAAAATTGTAAAGGCATATTAATTAGCCTTACCTTGCCACTGAGGATTTATACAGAAATTTGAAAAAGGAAAAATAAAAAGCTGGGAATCAGACAGAAGTACTTTATTTTGCTGGTACTAAAACTTTTTATTTTTCTTGTGTTTGTACATAAATCATTTACAAGCACAACTTGAATATATAGATGATATTTAGCATTATTTTTGTCTGAAGGAGGAAGGTAATACGCTTTTTTGCCATGTGGTTCTACCACCTCCAAGCCAAGAAAGTGATTCTTTTCCCTGCTTCTTGTAGTGGAGTTGGTGTCTGCCACAAGCGATGTTATGTTGTTTAGCTTTTAATATGTAGGTGCCTTTGAAAAAGTACATCTTTCATTTGACTCAAGTTCTGAATATGTTGCAAAACACTGTTGTGTGTGCACTGGCGTGTGTGGAAGAAAGCAAATTAGCTATGGCAGGGAATGCTACTATTGTTGTCAGCAGTTCACTTTTACTTCTAATTTGAATCAAAGCCATTTTGAACTGGACTGGATCCAAGTCTAATGTAATCTGTAGTCTCAGATCTATACTCGAGAAGGTTAATGGAATAGTAAAACCTTCTTAAAGATAGTTAAATGTGTTGGAGTATCCTCAGGGTAGCTTCTCCAGTAAAGATGTTTTCTTTCCCACCCTGTAGAGGTATCTCATTAAGGTACCCACTAGTGTCATTATTAAGTTTTCATGTGTTTCTCAGTTTTGATGCTAATCTTTGTGCATGCATTTAATTCTGTTCTTTCCAGCACCAATGTGGTTATGAATTATTCAGAAATTGAGTCTAAGGTTCGAGAAGCAACCAACGATGATCCATGGGGACCTTCAGGGCAACTCATGGGAGAGATTGCCAAGTAAGTGATAATTTGACTCAGCAGTGAAGAAAGGTACATCTTTATGCAGAAATATATGATGGGGGAAGGGACTGCTCCTGCTTCATCATTTCTGAGGAATAAGAGATGAAGAGAAAGAAGTATTAACTGTACAACACTCAGAATGATGGCCACCAGCTACTGTTTATTAAAATCTATTTTCTGAATGCATTATAATTTGGAGCATAGAAGATTTCCTATGGGCCAGGATCTTGCAAACTGTTTTTCAGAAATACAAAATGAGGAAGTTGGGGCTACTTCATAAACACAGAGGGCAGATGAATGTCATGATGGGCTAAAATAACAGTGGGCTTTCTCTAGTTTTTTTCATTATTTCCATAGTGGGGGGAGACTTATCAGCATTGCTAATCTACCGAGTAATTCTGCGTATGAAATACTTCTGTACAAATCTCAGTAGCTCTACATTAGGCAATGGAGCTTCTAATTTAGAACAGTTCTGCCATCTGCTGTCAAAGGTAGGTCCTAGCGGACCATTACTGAAAATAGCTCCATAAAAATAATTCCTTCTCTTTTTTTTAGGGCCACTTTTATGTATGAACAGTTTCCAGAACTTATGAACATGCTTTGGACACGAATGCTAAAAGACAACAAAAAGAACTGGAGGAGAGTTTATAAGGTATGTATTTAAGTGGCTTTTCACACTTTTTTCTGAGTTTTAATTTTGTTCTAAATTGCACGTACTGAATAACAAACAGAAGTGAATGTTTTAATTTTACCACAGTGTCCTCTCATAATTAACTCAGTTTTGTGCTTTCATTAGCATAATATCCATGCTAAACTTCATAGGTTTCTAGATCCTCTGTGTGCAATTAGCATGAGCTTGATTTTAATCAAGTTGCTTTTTAATGTATGTTTTAGGAAAGAAGCCTGTGCTAAAAAAAAACAAGATATTTTCTTTCACTCTCTCTGAAATAGCTCTTAAATTAATGCCTTCTAGCAACTTTAATTTTTATTGCTTCATTAAATGCTAAATAGGGGATTCTCCATAATTTGATCTTTTAAAACAAACAAGCAAATAACCTTATTGGCCTACTACTGAGAGACCTGGTGTTGCTTTGTTTGGTTGGGGTTTTTAAAAATAGTTGTTCTGCATGTTTATGTTAAATCTGTTTAACAGACACAATATTTATCTCTAGCATCTCTCATGTGTTGTGTTGGCTTCACTCTCTGAACAATTTTATTAATTATATTCTATCTTGTATCTATCTGGAGACTTAACAATTGTTTCTTCCTCTTCTCCCTGTAGCCCCTCTGGTGCAATTTTGGTAAATATGTTCAGTATAAAATATTTGTTTCCTAGCATCACAGTACTCATTTTTTCCATGTCTTGTTGTGCTGGAAAAGGTGCTACAGGAAAAGTCATTCAGATTTGAAAGACTGCCTACTCAGTGGAATTTTTTCTAAGATACTTCCCTTTTTGGAATGGTTTTTTGATGTAGGTTTTATGTTATAGTAATTGTTTTCCCTAAAGCATAATGCAAATTAATTTTTAATGCCGCCATGCATATTATTTAATCTTCTTGAGGATACTTCGATTTATCTGCCAGCTCCGAGTATACAGCTTCTGTTGACATCAAAATAACTTCGGATACAGTTTTTTTAAAAAAAAAAGAAAAGAAGGGGAAATCCTGCAGTAAGGAAGTTCACAAAATTAAAATACTTTTCTACTTATTTTTGTTTTGAAGTTTCCTTAAATGTACCTGAAAATAGTGAATTTTGTACATCAACACATTTCCCATAGAAAGCTACATAAATAAATTGCCATAAAAATTGCTCTTAAATGGAAAAACACTGGGGAATAAGGCAATTGGAAAAAAAGGGAGACACAAAAGAAAATTGTTTCTTTCTGTAGAGTTGTTTTTTCTTAAATTGCCTTAACCATCATTTCCCCCTGTTCAAGAACAGTCATTCTTCAGGCAAATAACTTATAATTTAATGCTCTACTTTTTAGCATCTTGGTGAGTAAATGCAGTTTTACATTTGTGCACTGTACTGTCAGTTATTTTTGCTTTAAGAAACAACATTATAATTGACTTGTTTGAATAGGAACAAATCCTGTTGTTTTTTTCTTCACTAATTTTTTACATTTAGGCTGGGTGTTTTTTTATTACATTTAAAATACTGATGGCTTTTGTTCATATAATCATAAGGTGCTTTGTATTTTTTATAGTCTCTGCTGCTCCTATCTTACCTCATAAGGAATGGATCAGAGCGTGTTGTTACAAGTGCCAGAGAACACATTTATGATTTGCGATCCCTGGAAAATTACCACTTTGTAGGTGAGCGATAGAAAAATCTTATAAGCAAATTAAAACAGTAGTTGGAGTTGTCAGTCACCTGAACCAGCTTAGAAGCTTCCCCACTCTAATTAGAATGTGACTGTTGCCGGTTGTGTGAAGAGTGCAGAATCCAAGACGTGGGACCCTAGAGTATTAATTAGTGAAGACAAGAACTTGCAGAAAAGACTGGCTAATAACAACAGAACCAACACAACATGAGTGTTCGGGTTTATATTAAAATATGCACTAGAGACTGGTCCCCTGTGGTGTGTGTAAAGGAATAGCTTTAATCATATGGGAAGAAAAGGTTAGAGCTCCCAAACATACACATCTGTTTGAAGCTAGGGATTTCTTTTCCTCCCACCAAATAATATTTACAGTGCAAAGGCAGCAAGACCAGTGTGTGTTCTGAATAAGAAAGAGGCCTCGAGAAGTGAGGCAAATTTTAGTTTGTAGTGTGCTCCAGCTGACAGCCTTTTAAAAATGCCGTTTTGAAGCAAGACAGAGAGATCTAGCAATTAGCATTGGGGAAGGGGTGTGAGGGGAGAGATGGCTTCCCCCCTTTTTAAAAAAAAGGCTAAGAGGGAGTGTTGTTCTAAATGGGTTAACATTGGCAGAAACCATGTTTCCAAGCATCATGTTTTTAAATTTGTTTCTAAAAGAAGGAACCCAACGCTAACCTTAACAGAACAAAACCAGTTAACACACTTTCTAAACTGAATTTCTCTCAGATATTATCCTGTGGCTTAGTGCTATCCCTTGAGGTAAATGTTCGCGTATAAAAATGATAGCAGTCACTCATTTTAGAGAATTTCTCTAGAATATCATTATCTTATATTTTGGAGTACATCCAGTTTCTGTCTACATTTCTTCGAAATACCCTCTGCTGGAGGTTAACCAGAGCTTCCTAATTCTGACTTTCTGTGCCCTTTTTTCAAACAGATGAGAATGGCAAAGACCAAGGAATAAATATACGCCAGAAAGTAAAAGAAATGGTTGAATTTGCCCAGGATGATGACAGACTTCGTGAAGAGAGGAAAAAAGCAAAGAAAAACAAAGATAAATACATTGGGGTTTCTTCAGATAGTGTTGGAGGATTCAGATACAGTAAGTCCAACACTGTTGAAGGGTCAGAGCTGTTGCATGTTATGATATTGGCTCGACTTTATGGGGACAGGATAAGGAATGTATGTTGCAACTTGCGTGGCTTAATACGCATGGCTGTCATGTTTTCAGTGTGATACAGTGTTTCTTTGTGTTCTTGGACTGCAGCTCCCAGAAATCCTAGCCAGCGCAGCTGGTGGTGAACATCTGGGAACTGTAGTCCGAGAACACTTGGGTTATCTAAGATTCGGAACTACTGCTTTAGTAGATCTTGTATACCAAATTATTGGGATAGGAAAGTGATTACAGGTCCATTAAATTCAATGGGATTTCTCCCCACATAAGCGATGTTAACTTTCTAGCCTTGGTCTGTAACACAGGTGGAACTTCTTGCACATCATATCAGCACCTTGCTGCTAAAAATACAGAGCTATAATTTTTTGCTCAGAACAAAGTACTGTATTTTTCCATGTATAAGACGCCCCATGTATAAAACGTCCCCCACTTTTCTAAATCAAAATTTCTTTCTTTGCAAGAAAGTTGAGTTGCAAAAAAAGTTTGTTGCAAACAGCAGCTTTTCCCCCTCCAGGTTTTGCAAAGAAGACGTAGGGGGAAAGTAGGAATCACTTTCCCCCTTCATTTTCTTTGCAAAACCTGGAAGAGGAAAGTTGCTTTGTGCATTGAAAATGTAAGGGGAAAGCAGAGATCGCTTTCCCCCTACATTTTCTTTGCAAAACCTGGAGGGGGAAACAGGGATCAAAGCACTTTGATCCCTTCCCCCCCTTACTTCTGAGTATAAAACAACCCTCGATTTTTTCCTTTAATTATTTTAGGGAAAAGTGTTGTTTTATACACGGAAAAATACGGTACATGGGGAGCAGATACCTTGTTTTAAAGAACAATACATCCTGGAGGTTTCAAGGAATACAGTTCCCCATTAAAACGAAATGTATACTCCCTCCATGTCTTATTTGCAGCAAAAAGTGCAATTTAGATGGATTTTCAGCACCACATTTGCTGACACCCAAGATTGGGGCTCCATAGACTCTACTTAAAAAGAAAAGGATTATGTTGCCTACTTCTGGTCTCGAAGAAAAGACAAGAAGTATATAGTGGAAGTTTTCCATTAGACTCTCTTCAGAATGCCTGGAACAATCACAGAAAGGCACGGTCCTTAACATCTTGAATCCTTTGGTAGTATAATCAAATTTGGGTCAGCACAGTTCAGCTGTTAGCTTTGGACTGATTAACAGTTGCTACCACTGTCAATTACTTTGGGTAATAAGCAAAGTTTTTTTCCCCTCCCTCCCACGTTGGCCAGCTATGTGGATTTCTTTCTGTTTGCGGCTGTGATGCACCTTTCACAGCACATGGGATCACACCACGGAGAAGCAATTTCCAAGCAGCTTTTCCTTTTCCTTTTTAATATACTTCTCAACCTTAAAATATTTATATGTGTGTGATTTCTGTTCATCCTGGGTTTTGAGTAAAAGGAAACTAAGCTGTTGACCATTTTAGGGGGCTGGAATTGATGGTGTGGTCATGTGCTGTTGAAATAGTTCCCTCTAAGGGCCTGATTGTTAAATTTAGCACTGATAAATGTGGAAGTCCTCCATGCAGCCCAGGCAACAAAAGGTCTTTCTAGGCACAGAAGGCCCCAGGAAAAAGAACATGCTGAGGAAACTGTGGAAACATACCAAAAGCACAATTCTGTCTGGAAAAGGTGGTCAGGAATCAACTGAACCAACGTGAGACCAACTAAAGCTATGCTAAATCCAAGTCCCGCATATGCTTGGGATATTGAAAATTACATACGGGTGCCCTCACTATTACTTAAGTTTGTGTCAGCACTGTAATGCCAGCATTGTGCCCATGTCCCCAGGCTGGAGGAGGTTTGTATCTGGCATAACTTGGTTTATCCATTGCCCTTCCCCCTTTTCAGACTCTTCTGCCAGCAGAACAGGTCTGTCAGCAGACTTTTCTTTCAGTAGATTTCTCAAGAATGGCCAGCAGGGAAGGATTCTGCTGACAGAAGCATTTTGTGCCTAATGCTAAACCTCTATTGTTGGTGCACCTTTGAGTCAGGATGGCACAGTAAATCTATTTAAGCAGGACTTATTTTAGAACAACATTTTAAAAACCCAGTAAAGGGTGGCCAGATTCCCGTTACTTGCACCCACCAGTCGAATTGCACCAGTATGGATCCTAATGACAAATTGCTGCCAGTTTAGAAGTTCAGGCTTGTATTTCTTGTTGCACGCCAAGTAAAGTGAGGGCTATGTGACAATAGATACAAGCACTAACCTCCTAACTCGCACCAATTCACCATGCTGTTGGACTTTACACCAGTGGCTGTAAATAATAGGATTCTGATCAAAAGGAAAGTAGAAGGCAGCACATGGACAAGGATTGTTCACTGTTCTATAAAGTATTTGCACTTTAAAACTATCAGCTTGCTGGACAGTAGTTGTGGGTATATGCTTTCTGCAGCTAATGTATTCCATTACAAAAAAAAAGTCCATTTCCTCAAAGTGCTACAGATGGCAAGAGATATGTGTTAAGAGATATTCCATTGAGTCTTGAGCAGCCTTTGTTTGATGTAAGCTGCCTCATGTGCTTTGGAGCAGCAGGATTATGGCCTGTTTCCAGTACAAACTAGAGTGGAGTTTCCGTATGATTAAAGCAGTTGGATAGTACACACCTCTATAATTAATGGGTGACATGCTTTTGATTCCTGTAGGTCGCTGTATCCTGGATAGTTCCATAGATGAGTTAAATGGCAATCTTTGTTCTGGAAAGTCCCATAGAGAAGATTAAATGACTATGGCTCAGACTGTAAGACTCTTATACAGAAAGCAGAAGATTTTGCTTAGGTCTTTAATATGTCTTTGAGCCAAGGATAGCCCCTTAGGTCAGAGATAGGGAATCTGCAGGTGTTGAGTGACCCAGGAGTTTTGGGGAACCCTCAAAACGTGGTCTTGTCCTATTTTTTAAATAAATAAAATAAAATCTGGCTCTGGGAAGAAGGGGGCTCCATTTGAAATACATTTCTCACCCTTTGCCTCAGATTGAAAGATTTTGACATACCTAATTGGAATTTTATTAGGGATTCTAGAGGATATTGTACTGGTAGAATTTTCAGTTTTCAGGATTTTAGCTCATATGGTTTTACCTGTTTATACAATGCAGCTGGTTTAAGATACATAGAGGCGGGGATCCTCTTAGCTGTGCCTGCTGGTAGACTATCAGTGCAAATTGCCCCAAGATATGAAGTCATCATAGGCATTTGCTAGTAAACACCCTTTCTGTGTGACTCAGTGTGCAAGAGGAAATGCCTCCTCTGACATCGGAAAGTTTTTCTGAGCTTTGACCACTGAGAGTTGCACTGGTAACTTCTGCTGGTGCAAATATACAACAAAATTCTGATCAGAGGAATCTAAATTGCTAAACAAAATTCAGACTTAACCAGATCTGACAGCACATGTGACATCTTCCACTTGCAGTTAGCAGCCAGTAAGAAGTTTTGGAAATCTATGCGATTAAGCAAATTTTGTTTCTGTGGATACTTTTTTTGGCAGTGATATCGCATGTTGAGAAATTATGAGTACTAACTCACACTTGAAATAGTCGGTTGCTCCACTTTCACTTCATGAAGATCTCTTAAAATCTGAGGTTAGAAAAATTGATATCCATGTTTATATCTGTTTTTAAAGATTTGATATAACTGCCTTCTGTATTCAGAAAATTTGGAAACATTTGCAGTCCCTAAAATGTTTTCAGCCTTCTTCAGCAGCTACCTGAAAGTATGATACTGAAAACTTACAATATTGAAAGGGCTTTACAGTATTCCTCACAAGTTCACACAGCCAGGACTCATGCCAGTAGGTATGGGGAAGCTTGCCTTTCAGCCTGCTTCTGCACTCTAAGGCACTATTTTGATATCCTGTGTGGTACATTGTTGTTTAGTTGTTAGGTCGTATCCAACTCTTCGTGACTGCATGGACCAGAGCATGCCAGGCCTTCCTGTCTTCCACTGCCTCCTGGAGTTTGGTCAAATTCATGTTGGTAGCTTTGATGACATGTAGTACATTACGATTGTATAATCGTTGTAAATGTTATATCTTGAGTGCATTTCATGCCAGTTAATTATTGGCCTTTGATTGGGTAATGTTGATTCAACACAATAAACATTGTTTGCTTTAAAACTCTTTAAGGTAAAAGTATGTGTACAGTTAAAATGTTAACAAAAAAGTGTGCATTGTCAGATTAATTGCTTGTTTTTCTTTCTTCCTTGATTTTGCAGGTGAAAGGTATGATACTGAGCCCAAATCAAAATGGGATGAAGAATGGGATAAAAACAAAGGTGGTTTTCCATTTAGTGATAAACTAGGTGAGCTGAGTGACAAAATTGGAAGTACAATCGATGACACTATCAGTAAATTTCGGAGGAAAGACCGAGATGACTCTCCAGAAAGATGCAGGTACTTTTAGTACGGCTGTGTTACACAGCATTTGCTCTGTTAACAGTCTTTTTTACAACCTAATACAGTGGTGCCCCGCATGATGACGATAATCCATCTCGTGAAAATCGCTGTTTAGCGAAATCATCGTCATTGGAATGCATTGAAAACCAGTTTAATGCGTTCCAATGGGGAAAATACTTCATCATCCAGCGAAGATCGCCATAGGGAAGCCATTTTGCAAGCGCTGATCAGTTGTAAAAATGGCAGCCCTGCGAAGCATGGGTCCGGAAAACACAGGGCATCCATTTTGCGAAGCCGAAAAAATCGTTGTCTTGTGAACAAATGGTTCGCGAAGCATGGACCTAATCGACGTCCAGCAAAAATTCCCCATAGGAATGGCTGTTTTGCGAATCACTATAGCGATTGCAAAAAGTCATCATGCAGATTCGTTGTTTAGTGGGGTCATCGTTTAGCGAGGTACCCCTGTAATAAATTATAATTGCACAGTGTCAAGTAAATTCTGACTTATGACAACCTTTTACAGAGTTTTCTAGGTAGAGACAGGCATGAACCACTGGTTCCAGGCACTGCCACCAAGTGGGTGCCCACTGGAGGAAGCAGGGCACCAATCCACAGGTCAGCTGTACAGCAGGGAAACAAACCATGCTGAACCAGCAATTCATGCCCAGCTCTAGTAGAGAGTACTCTGAAGTGGTTTACCATTCCCTTCTTGGGATGCCCTGGGACTGTACAGCTTACCCATAACTACACAGGCTGGCTCTTCTCCCAGGAGGCACAGTGGGGAATCAAAATCTCACTTTCTGGCTCCTCAGCCAGAGGCCTAATCCACTGAGCTATCTGGCCAGTATAATTCACCGTCAAGTTAATTCTGACTTATGGTGATACTTTTCAGTGTTTTCTTAGCAGACAGTACTCAGAAATAGTTTCCCATTCCCTTCTTCGGGGGACATTCTGGGACTGTGCAGCTTGCCCAAGGCTATACAGGCTGGCACCTCTTGGATGCACAGTGAAGAACTGAATGCCCAACTCCTCAACCAGATGCCGAAGTCACTGAGCTATCTACTTTCAGTTTTTTAGACAGTTTGTCTCAATAATAACATTTTTGATGAGCTGCTATCTTCCCCTAATGAGTTTGGAGCTCAGCTTTTATATCTGTGAAATTGAAAATGTTCACTTTCACCTTCAGTCATTCTCACAGTTGTGGGATGATGAAAAGGTGGTCATTCAGTGTTTACTTAAATCACATGGAAAAGTGGGAATGAGGAGCCGTGTAATGTCTTGATTTGGATCAGTGTCGTATCTTCTGTGTTTCTACTTTGCAAACATCATTCATACACACCATGTTGTTGGGTTTTTTTAATAAAACCTTCACCTGATCAATGTTAAAAATTGGAAGAGAAGTTTTAGAATCAGAGCTGTCCTTCTCTGTGCTGAAGAGCTCATTCAGTTTCTGGGAAAGATCTTTGATCCAGGAGAAGAGGCTGACGAGCGTACAGCCTACAGCAACACGTGGCCCTACAATTTTGGGGGTGGGGATTTGTGTGTGGGTCTACAGAGAACTCGCAAAATTGATCTCCTTTTCCATTAGTGGCAAAATTCAGTGAGATCTCTAGTTCATTTCCTTAATGTCCTCATGACTCATATATTCAGCAGGTACGATAGTGTTTGAGAACATTGACGTAAATGTCTGTGAATGTTTCTGGTCATAAATTTAGAGGCTTCCTAGCAGAGAGTGCTAAAGGTCTTGTAGGCCATTGACTGGGAAGTGTTCAACTTACAGTGTACAGAAAATGCCAAGGAGAAATTGGTAACGAGAAGCTGACTCTCCTCTGATTTTGCTCTGGAATCCTTTGGCCTCCTTGATATTTCCAGATGCCAAAAGTAACAGAAGGGTCCCTGTTTGTCATAAAAGAAGTAGGCTATAGTTTGGATTCTGTTGTATTTCTGCCTTTTAAAATTTATTTATTTTTCACACATTCTTGACTGAACACTTTACATCCATGGAACCCAAGATCAGAGGCATGGCCATTTACTTCTTTGTGAGCTCCCGGGTAAATCTGAGTAGTCAGTCTGTGTTATACAGCAGTGGTCCCCAACCTCGGGCCTCCAGATGTTCTTGGACTTCAGCTTCCAGAAATCCTGGCCAGCAGAGGTGGTGATGAAGGCTTCTGGGAGTTGGAGGCCCAAGGCTGGAGACCACTGTTGTACAGGATGATCATGTGGCTGGAGGACAATCCAAATGAGGCAACCCTGATGTATGGAGTTATTTGCAACCCATAGCATTTCTAGCTGCTTACTACAAAAAGAATGTGGAGTTGTTTGGCCAGAATATAAGTCACAGCAGTATATTCACGAGCAATATTAGTAAAATTCCGACTGGGCAGGCTTTTATTTTATTTTAATATAATTTGTGAAAAATGTTAAAAACATCAGAGATTGCTTCCTGTGGTGAAGTTACACACTGTAGTCCAGAAACTGGCAATATTTTTATTAGTCCGCAGTATTCTGCCTTGGTCTCATTCTGCCTCAGTGACAGAAATAATTAAGAGGTAACTTGTTTGTTTTTAGACTGTAGAGGCTGAGTGGAAGAAAATTAAAATAAAGCTTCTTTTTTATTTGCATCTTGTTGAAAGTTTAAGCATGAAAGGATAAAACATTTTAACTTGTAATAATAGTGCTCTCTTTTTAGCCAACCCTTTCATAAAGTACAGTGGACATTTTCTTTGTATGACCATTAACAGTCTGTGAAAGTAAAATTATATTTCAAGTTTTGCTACCTGTGTTGCCTCCAAAGGTTATCCTTTCAGCAACTAGGTCAAACTTTCATCATCCACAGAGCAAGCTGATACTTAGTTTTTTAAATATTATTATGGAAAACTTTATTTATTTTTTTATTTATTTAACTTGTATGACGTGCTGATTAGTGATAAACACATCTCTGGGCGATTTATATAAATTTCATTGGGATAAGATAAAAGCTGTAGGAGCTCTCATGTTTTTTCCACATTGTATTGAAAGAATAAAAATAAAATTAAGGTGCTGGAAGTTTTCAGTATCTTAAGCTCTTCACATGGAGTTTAAAATTGTTTTGAGAGAGGAATAGAAATGTTATATTAAACTGATCAACTCATACTCTTTTTGCCCACAACCCAAGAAAATGTAAAGCAAAGAAACAACAACAACAAAAGCAAAGTGTTCTGCTTATATACTGCCCCATAGCATTTAAAGCACTCTTTGGGCAATTTATAATCTAATTATGCAGGCTACACATTGCCTCCCCTCCCAGCAAGCTGGGTGCCCCAGTTTACTGATCTTGGAAGGATGGAAGGCTGAGTGAACCTCAAGCTGGCTACCTGGGATCGAACCCGGATTGTGAGCAATGTTTTGGCAGCAGTACGTTTAATCACTGTACCATGAGGCTCAAATTTTCAAAAAGTGATTTAATGCAATTTGAAAAATGTTAACTTGTGTGTTCAGCATTTGTTGGTTGATATGCTTGGGGATTTTTTTTCCCTAAAAGACTTTTTTTAAAAAAAAAATCAAGTATGGGGAAAAAATACAAACTATGCTTTTTCAAAAGAAGCTAAAAATGAAAATGGAACTTTCCAGTAAGATTCAAAATTAAAGAAAAGTCTGAACTCAGACTTCGGATTATACGTAATATACTCAGAAGGTTACTAGCAGAGAAGTTGTTAGAAGAGCAACACAGGCATTACCAGTTATATGGAGAAAAATAATTGTACATAAATCAATCTGAAGAAAGAATAAAAGAAATATGAGACAATTCTGAAACTCTCTGACCAGGGAAACCACAACCAGATAATAAATTACTCATGAAGCCCTTCCCAAAAATACCGTATCATCTTTAGGTTTACAAATGCAGTGCTTAAATTTGAGCAGTGATGGGAAGAGATTAGGTTGGGTGCTTGGTTTTCCCTCCTCCTTGTATTTCCAGTAGGATAATAACAGAGAAATACATTAGTGCTGCCTTTCTGTTGTCCATTACCAGCATCCTCTTACTCTAAATATGATTGCTTTTTTATTTCATGGTTTTAGTGTGTGAGAAGGTTTATGTTTAATGCACTGAAGTATTTTTTTTCCTCCTTTTTTTATTGGATTCCATGGGTACGCTTGTCTTGTTCTTTTACTTTGCTCCAGAAACATGATTCTAGTTCATTCTGCCAAATTCTATCTGTCCGGGCCTTGCACACTAGAGGGAGTAAATCAGCTTATATTGGTTCCTGAAAAGGTGGATGTCCTTCTTACACATCCAGGCAGTGCCTACAAGCTGGTTCAGTTGCTTCTCTATGAAAATATCTCCACAAAGCATACAGAGGAAAAGGCTTGGCCCCCAAATGAGTGTAGACAGCTTCAAGTTCTAGCAGGGTTTCTTTTTCCTCCTTTTCCTTATATATGCATACTCAACATTAATCCTAGATCTTCAGTGTTGATTCAGATCTTTTTAGAAGCTATAAACCACTGTGTAGATCCCTGCCTCCTTTTCCACTTCTTTTTCTATGAGTGCATTGGGCATAACATTTTATCAGGATTGTACCATGGAATGAAAATGTACTAAGCATTGAATAGAGCTTACATAGCTTCGGATCAGTACATACTGGCTGCTGTGTAAGCATCAGTGGGATGAGGAAAAAGAGAGGTGTTTGCAGTAAAGTGGGCCACTATAATCCTGACAAAACCCTACATGCATCAGCAATCGTGGCGCAGTGGTTAAAACGCTGTACTGCAGCTAAAACTGTGCTCATGACCTGGGGTTCAAATCCCAGGTAGACGGCTCAAGGTTGACTCAGCCTTCCATACTTCCGAGGTCGGTAAAATGAGTACCCAGCTTGCTGGGGGGGCAATGTGTAGCCTGTATAATTAAAAATTGTAAACCGCCCGGAGAGTGCTTGTAGCACTATGGGGCGATATATAAGTCCAATCAATCAATCGATCGATCGATCGATCGATCGATCGATCGATCGATCGATCGATCGATCGATCGATCGATCGATCGATCGATCGATCGATCGATCGATCGATCGATCGATCGATCGATCGATATAGATAGATAGATAGATAGATAGATAGATAGATAGATAGATAGATAGATAGATAGATAGATAGATAGGTTGACCAGACCAAAGTCCAGATAATTTGAGGTTTTTGGGGGTGGGCAAACTCCTAGGAAAGAGTAGGCACTAACTGATTTACTTGAAATCAGTAAATAAATTGAAGTTTACTTTTTGCATTTTAAAAAAAAAATTATTGAGGAGGGGGGTCCTACTGTTTCTGTGAGTTTACCAAAATTTATTTCCTATATATAGTTTCCTACAAAATTATATTGCATTATTAATACTTTCGAGGGAAAACTATCTGTAATACTGCATGATGGTAACATTAAAATGGTAATGTTGCCTAACATGGTGTAATGGGGAAAGTAAATATCTCTCCTACTATGAAAGTTCTATTAGGGTTGTATAAGTCACTTCTGACAAAGGGACAGAACAACGATGTTTAAAAAAATCAAACTTATTTTAGAAGTGGTCAAAACAGCATACTCTTTTACAGAATGACTGCTGTGGCATCTTAATAATTTTTGCCTTTCCATGGTTCCCCTGTTTTTTAACATCTCACTTGATGATTTCTCAAGAATTCAGAAATTCACATATGCTTGTGAATTTATAGTGAAGTCTAGTAAAATTACTACCCACCTGTGGATTTGTGTTTTGTTTCATTCCAAAGGTTTGGCATAATCTCTTTTCTGCAATTGGTTAGCACCCAAGCTGTTCATGTTTAAATCCAACAAAACTAGCCACATGAAGACCCGTTTGCCAGTGGGTCAGGTGTTCTGGCCGTGCTTCTCATTTATAGATCATCTTTAGAAGCACCTGTTACTTTAAATGAGAGCTGGGAAAGTTAGTGAATAAAAGGACTAACAGTTCTATTAACTTAGTGAGCTCAACGTCTGTTTCAGTAAGAACTCACTATAACAGTTTAATAGTTGTTAACTTTTTTTTCTGAATTCCTATCTGCTTCAAGAAACGTGATCTCTAGGTCTTATAGGATTCAGATTCCCATGAATTTCAGCCCATAGGCCAATATTCAGGAGTTGCCATGTAACAAAAAATGGTGGAATGACAGGGTCCCCACTTCAGTTTTAAAAGCAGGGCTGCCAGAATCCTATGTGTATCTTCTAAATCTGCATAGGTATTATAGCCTAAAAGCAGGTATGCCTGTTACTGATGTGAGTGCATGAGGACAGATACCGCCTGTGTCTCCCCCTAGGTGTCAGTTAGGCCCTCATGTGTTCAGTACAGAAATCCAAAAATACCCTCTTAAGTGTGTTTAGCTGACTACACTCACAATGTTTCTGTGGTTAAAATCACGGGTACTTAAAATATGATTTCCCCAGTCGTGAAGCACTCTAAGCATGGTCAACCAAACATGCTTACAATATCCTTTCAGCTTTTTCTCCAGTACATGCAAATACCTGATTCAATCCAGGTCAGTTGTGGATACTGAGGTTGAGACTTACAGGTAACACAATCACAACCCTTCCATCTTTAAGGGTAACACCTGATTAGAGCTATAACTAATTGTCTGCCTTTCTGTAATAACTCTTGTTTCTGCAATATAGAACATTACTTTTGAAATGCTCAAATCATATGTTTGTTTGCATTCACATTTCACCTTTTTACTGCATCCGTGGTCTAAACGGGAGTGAGTGCAACTTTTTAAAATATGGCAATTATTAGTGATTCAGGTCAGGATCTAATTGTGCTGAGTGCGGTACCTCTGTCTCAAACTGCTGGAAAATAAGTTTATTGACAAAAGGGGTTGCATTCATTTATGTATGCATGCAGTATCCTAATTACACGCACAGTGGGCAGAAGGTTGTGTACAACACCCTGGATTGGTTTTAAGTCAAGTTTGCATTCTTTAAATAATCTAAAGCAAGAGGGCTTAAATTACTGTGTATCCAGCCTAGAATTTTCCTTGGCACAATTCCCAATTCAAGCATGTTTCTGTGACGGGGAAGCAGGTGCTGGACATAGTAAAATAGATCTAACCTGAATCTGATGGATGGCTCAGTAGTTTTGGCATCAGGCTGCAGAGCCAGAGGTTGGGAGTTTGATTCCCCACTGTGTCTCCTTGACAGGGGTTGGACTTGATGATCCATAGGGTCCCTTCCAGCTCCGCAGTTCTATGATTATTAATCTTGGATTTAGAATGGAGATTGTGACTCAAACAAGAAGAATGTCTGGATCATAATCCTTTGCTGGTATTAGTAATCTCTTGGGGTCTGAGCTGTTGACAGTTCCTTTAGGATTTCTGTATGATGTTCCTATATTGTCCATTGACTAGAGTGATTATTAGAGGCCACTCTAGATGCTCTATCTCTGGTTAGGCTGTTGCCAGCCAGAGACAAGGGCAAGCATCCTGCTGGCTTCTTTGTTGTGCAGTCATGGATTTTGTTGTGGCTTTTTGATGTAGTGCTGGTTGCGCAACCAGCATCTTCCAAAACAGCCATGACTATATCCATGACTTTTGTTCCACCAAGATAGTAGCCAAGGTCCTTTCTATGGTGGTCACCTCACCACTAGTGTTTGGGCGCTGTCTGACATTTCAGTATTAGGCACCAGGTCCATGGCTGCCTTGTTTGCATAGAGTTTTAATTAATGTAAACTTAGGGTTCTTAAGGCTGCCTGTTTTTAGCTTTCTTCTTCTGAGGTTTTATTGGATATGCTGTATAATGGTTTGTTGATTTTATTATTGTTATATGTTAACAACCTGTTGCATAAACTGCCTTGAAAATGCATTTTGAATTTAAAGGCAGGAAATCAGTGAACAAATAAAACAATTACGTGGGAATCTGGCAGTGTGCATTATGTGCCATGGAAGCAGTGTGCTCAAGAATTGTCACTACATCATGCTGTTTGAGCTTGCATTTCTACACATAGCCTCTTGAAACAAAGAGAAATTGCTCTGCAACAATGCTTGGTGGATTTATTTTTTTATACTTGGCTTGCTCTTAGTCCCGCTTATCATTTTGTGTATGTAATCTCTGATGGAGGAGAAAGTGAAATGCTGGGTATATGTTCTTAATGAATTAAACAGCCCTTACGGCTTAGTAGATAATATACAGAGATGAAGTAGGAGGCATAACTAAGTAGTAGTAGTAGTAGCAGCAGCAGAGGGTATACCATAATTGATATCACCTCCATGCTGATAACAAGACAGCCTTTCTTAAATCAGGGGGCTTGTTACGCTCTTGCAGTATTAAAAAATAACTTCCACAGCTAATTTCTGATTGAACTCACCGTTATCGTTCTCCATATTCTTATTATTGCTTTGAGATATTGTTAAGCATGCTGAGTGGTATAGAAATGGATTAAACTGTAACAGTTGTTCTGCGTGGGCCACGTTCACACATAATAATCAACCAGGATTCCTGGCTCCATAGGAATGAATAAAATGGAAGTGCATGCTAGACAGCCTTTTTGCCCCAGCTTTGCTCCTCCTTTCGTGTGACTGGGTCAAACTACTCCAGGAACAATAGCTTCTCATAATGTCTCTGAACACAGGGGCCTGGTTTGTTGCTCCTAAACTGTGACACGGGCTTACCTTTCAGCAGATGATTTACTTGACATCGGCTACATCACCTTCAGTCTGTTTAGTTTCTTTTTATGGCTGTGGAATAGCTCTTACTGTTTTTTATTTTCTCAGTGATAGCGATGAGGAGAAGAGATCTAGAAGAGGTAAATCACCAAAAGGAGATTTCAAAGATGAAGAGGAGACAGTGACTACAAAACACATCCATATTACACAAGCCACAGAGACCACCACCACCAGGCACAAACGCACCGCAAATCCTTCCAAAACCATTGACTTGGGAGCAGCTGCACATTACACAGGAGATAAAGGAAGTCCAGAGCAGAATGCTGCACAGTCTACAGCAAAGGTAGGAGGAGGGTAACTGAAGGCACAGTACTACAACTCTTTTCCTTTCATTCTGACCAAAGGTATCCTCAATTTTAAGAGGTAAATCTGGAATTTTCAAGATTACAATTTGAATAATTTAGTAACAGCAATAGGTTATGAATTAATAGTAAATTCGAGTCAAGGGCATGAACCTCACAGATTAATGTGTATGATTTATAGATGTCAGGAAATATCAGCCTTCAGTGCATCACACCCATTCCCCTATGAAAAATGAGCTGGAATAACTTTCCTCAGCAGTATCACAAGTCTCCAAACCAATTTTGAGCCATAGGTCTTTTGGAAAAATTAAATTATGTATCTTTTCAAAAGAAAGAAGACCTGCAAAGTTCATTGGGAAGATGGTTTCACCAGTCTTGGACCAATTGCATGGTGTGGGTACATGGAGCAGTGTTGTCCTTCTTCTTGCATGGTGTGGGTACATTTACCCAGATTGTCCAAAAGAACCAAGTAGGATTGTGTAACTTAGCATGCAACTCAACAATGATTTCTTAACTTGGGGCAAGTTGTCTTCAAAAGTTACACTACGTAGCTGAGCAAAAGGTTTTTGGCCACTGTACATACCAGCCTACTCAAGAGACTGAGCCAGAACCCTAGGCCAGAATTGACCAGGATTAGATTTGGAGAAACTGTTGCCAAATTCATAAAATGGTATTGGTTGCAATTTTCTAATGCAGGGGTCAGGGAACTTTTTTACCTCCCCCCCCCCAAAAAAAAATTATATACGCTGACATTACCCCCTTGATTCGAAAGGAAGGAAATCATACATTATTTGAATTAAAAATATGATTGTATCTACACAGGCTGTGTACCGAACTAGCAGGATGCACCAAATTTGATAAAGATGTGCACTGTTTTTGCTGTAACACGTACTCCAGCCATGATGTGGTATAGGGAGTAGTAAGGTGTCCAACGTTCCTAGCAAGTTGCATTAAATTTTTGCTAGCTCGCAGAGGATTTAATCATCACCAGATTGGTGCTAGCAATGACATGCTTGCTAGAGACAGCCAATGCAGAATTGGGGGGGGCTTTCCCTACCACTTTAATCATTCTATGTGTGGTGTGCAAAAAGGAACAAACCAGGCTAAAGGTCACCCATCCTGGTGCCAAAGCCCAATATCAAAGGACCAGTGTGCTTTTTTTTATCATCATCAATGGAAAACTCAGCAGTGGCCAGAGGACTGGAAAAGATCAGTCTACATCCCAATCCCAAAGAAGGGCAGTTCCAAAGAATGCTCCAACTACTATACAATTGCACTCATTTCGCATGCTAGCAAGTTTATGCTCAAAATCCTACAAGGTAGGCTTCAGCAGTATGTGGACCGAGAACTCCCAGAAGTACAAGCTGGATTCTGAAGGGGCAGAGGAACTAGAGACCCAATTCCTAACATGCGCTGGATTATGGAGAAAGCCAGAGAGTTCCAGAAAAACATCTACTTCTGCTTCATTGACTACGCAAAAGCATGGCAGAAAGTGAGGAGGAATTAAAGAACCTCTTAATGAGGGTGAAAGAGGA